TAATAATAATAATAATAACGAGACCAGTAAGAATCATAAAGGCAGGGGCTGCCATTTGTGGGGCCCCGTGGATACCAGCCATTGCCCCAGGCAAGGAGAGCCCAGACACCTTAATTCTTCCCAATAAATCCCTGTCCCGCAGAGAGGTCACATAGCTAGACAATGGCAGAGCTGAAATGGGAATCCTGAGTCTCAGGAGCTGGGTGAGGCCAATTGCACCCCCCAGTCCCACCTCAATCACAGCGGCTTGGAAACCAGAATTCATGGAATGGAAGGTTCTGTGTCTACAGAGGAGTTAACATGTACCTGCACTGTACCAGACTGTCTCACAAAAATCTCAATCAGAATGTACCTAATCAAAGTACTGAGCTGGGATTTTGAAAGATAAGTCAACTGAGAAAGCAAACAAGCTATATCAGGTATTTAATTTAAAAACAAAACACGAAAGCTTCTATGGTGGGTTCCACTAAGTCAGGAAACACCCAGGGCTCCACCTGGCACCTCCAGTGGAGGCTCTTGGCTGCTGAGCGGGAGCGGGAAGGGGACCGTGCTGTTCTGGGGAGCCTGGGGCTGTGTCCAGTGGAGCCAGCACTGCACTTAGTAAGAGTTAGTTTCTTCTAGTATTATTCCTGTTCATTCAGGGCATTCCAAAACCCAGTCATCAGTCTCATTATTTTCTTGGTTGTGTCCTTTTTGATAAAGAGATCTGCTTTAACTCTGAGATTCTTTAGAAACACCGTATGAAACAAAAGAGGCTTTTTGGAAAACCCCAGTTACCCAGATCACCACTCCCCAGGTTTCGGATTTTATTTTTCACCCATTTCCCTGACAGGGTGCTACAGTGACAACATCAGTGAGGGGACCCAGGGAAAATCGTGGAACCTTATTGTTTCACGTGGGGTACATATGAGAAGAACCATCTGATTTGAAAAGTCAGTGTTATGCGTGAAGGTCTTAAACAATAGAGTTATTATTAAGTATAGCACATCTAACAGACTGAAAGCAGTTACTATTAAGTAAAGTGAGGTTCAATAAATGAAAAACCAGAATTCCCAAAGGGCTTTAATCACATTATTTACATTATAAACAGAGACACACTTTACTATGCAAGACCCAGAAGTTAAAGGAATTCTCATTTCATGTGCCTTTGGATTGGAAAAGTTACTAATTTCATACCAAATGTGCCTTAGAAATTTGAAAAGAAAAAAATAATACTGGGCAGGCCCGGTGGCACACTGCTACAGTGCGCCGCTTGGAAGTGCGGTGGCGCTCCCGCCGAGGGTTCGGATCCCACATACAGACCGGTTCCCGCTCACTGGCTGAGCGAGGTGCGGGCATTACGCCGAGGGTTGCGATCCGTTGCCGGTCACGAAAAAAGACAAAAAGAAAAAAAGAATACTGATTTTTTATTTTTTTTTTGGCCTACTGAGGATGACTACAGACTGTGTGAATTAGTGGACTTGGGAGGAGTAGCTTTCAATTGCTGCTCAGCCCGACGCCAGCAAGCTGCATGTGCGAGCACGTGTTCTCATTCCAGGAAAACAGCAGAGACCACTGCTAAGAGGGTGTCTGTTTGGAACTAGTTTTCATCAGTGGTCAAGGGTTTGTACCAAGACACAGAAGGCCACTCTGACAGGACTGTGGCCAGTGGCACATGCTGGTGAACCACCAACTGGGACCAGGGGCAGCTTGAGGCCAGGGACTGGGGCAAAGCTAAATACTCTGTAAGGAAATTGAAATCAGAGCTCTGGCCCAGCAGAGCATGGGCCAATCAGCTCAGCTGCTCTCTGTGACCAGACAGCACGGCCCCCGTCTCGTCCAGTCTCTTGCCAGTCCCCAGGTACGGCAGACCTTTCATAACTCTCTGCTGAAGCCATACCTGGGTCCCTCTTCTCTGCTGTCCCCTTACCTCTCCATCTGCAACCTCCTACCCGTCCTTCCAGGGCCAACTCAAGCGTCACCTCCTCCAGGAAGCCACGATGGACTTCCCTAGGCAGGATCTTTTCTTACTGGCTCTACAAAAACACATGCCCTGCCATGGGCGGTTCCTCTGTTTATCCGCCTGTCTCTCCCTTTACCTCCGAGTACTAAGTGTTATAATCATCTCTGCATCTCCAACGCCCTGCTGGCTGACTGACCCAAACAGTAACTCGCTGAATGTGGTTGAAATGAGGGAATTACTCACCAAGCTGTAGTCTTTTTTTTTTTTTTATAGAAAAAAAAATAAAGTGATATTTTTAGTACTGGACCCACAGCTTTTAGATCCTTTGAAAGTCTTCCTATGACATTCAGCCTAATTCAGACCTTTTCTAAAGTATGGTCAAGAGAAGGTGGAAAAGTGGTGGAGAGATGAACAAAGACTGTTAAAAAGACTGGAAAAAGACACTGCAGAAAAGACATGGAGAATGTATCTGGAGAAGACAAGGACGGCAGAAGAGGACAGGGACACAGACGTAGTTCACAGCTTGACATGCCCCATGTGCACATCGGGAGGAACGTCCCCCACTCTGGGGCCTTGGCTGGCACCTAAGGGTGTGATATGCGACCTTGGCTGGCACCTAAGGGCGTGATATTCATCAGCACCCACACCCGCATCCGAGAGGACATTGCACATTCTGTCTCGAGGAAGTGCTGTCCTTTCCCCACACCCAGATTCACCTGTGCCATGGGAGCAGGTGGGCTCTGCAAAAGGGTCTGAGGCAGGAGCTGCTGTGCGAGGTCACAAGACGACGGGGAGGGCAGAGGAGCCTGGGAAGAGAGAGGGGCTTTGTTAACAAACTCTGCTTTTGGGCCATTCCAGGGGTACAGGGATGCTGTCTCTCGGGTTCTCTGGCTTTAAGGAGGCCTTTCTGCACTGGGGTGAATAGCTGAAGGTCGACTTCTAGAAGCTATAGGCATCTGTTCCACGGCTGTGCTGCTTCCTGTGCAGGGCATGCAGTCAGCACTGACACGAGGCTCGTGTGGGTGGCCCCTGAGCAAGTTCCTGGAGGCACTTGGGGTCCACGACTCCTCCCCACCAGGGTGCGTTCTGCAAGGCCACTGCTACCTGCGGCTCTGCTCCGCCTCCCTTTCCTTGCCTGCATCCTCGGTGGACTCGGCTGCTCTTCTCCCAGACTGATTAATGCTTAGCGGTGACATCAAGCAGTGTGAACGGGGTGTCCCAATAACAGAGCTGGCTTTACGCATGCCCTTATCCTTGCTGCTCCGCACCGATGCAGATGGACAGACATGCCGTGCACGTCTGTACTCATGAACTCATCCGGGCAGTGAGGACTGGGGAAACTTCCCCGGCCTCCACCTAGATCTTTAGAGAGATTCCTGGGACATGAACCGAGTCACATCCTTCTTCCCTGACCACTTGGGTGTGTGGGGAGCCAGGGGTGGGGTGGGGGGACAATCTGTAAAAACAAGAAATGAGTGCTCAGCTTCGCGGGCTATTAGAGTTCTCAAAAGGAAAGTAAAAGGGCTTCTGAAGTTACTCCAAAACTGCCCCTGTCCCTAGGAACTATAACAGGCAGCCCAAATGGCAAGAAAGGACAGCAGGAGCCCTTGTTTTGCGTGAGGAACCCCAGGCACAGGGCTGAGCCACGAGTTGGTCTGGGTTCTCCTGACTGTGTTCCCTACGTGGGGGGAGGAAATGGGAAACTCCGGGCCACGCTCAGTGGCAGAACGAGTCATCCTGGACAGGAAAGAGTCTGGGAGAATGGCAGTCGCCGCTTATCAGCGCGGCTAGAGGTCTTGTTCTACGCGAATGTAAAACGTGATACCCACGCTTTCAAGCAGGGCGTGCATAACCTTTGTGGTGATGGCAGGCAGGGACGTGGCATGCTCATCCATCTCCAAAGCATTGGTGAGGGGTGGGTGTGAGGTACTTGGCAGGTATCGGTGTGGCTCCTAAAAACCCCGGACACGTCTGCCATCTATGAGTGGAGATCTACGTCCCTCTCGATGGGCGAGCTCATGACTGCTTTGGCAAAGAGGCATGACAGGGGTGACACTATGTGACTTCCAAGGCTAGGACACAGAAGGCCATACAGCTTCTGCCAGACTCTCCAGATGCTTCCTCTTGGAATCCAGTCACCATGCTGGGAGAAGCCTAAGGCATGCAGAGGCCCGTGCAGGTGAACGATGGATGGTCTTAGCTGAACCGAGCCTCAGTGGCCCCAGCCTGGGTCCCCAACATTCAAGTGCAGACACCATTTGGGTTGTGGGTCCCCTAGCCCAGGCTGGTGAGACTTCTGACACTATGCAGCAGGGAAGAGCTGTCTTCACAGTGCCTTTTCCGAACTCCTGACGCAGGCTCCGTGAACATGACAAGTGATTGCTGTGTTATGCCACTAAGTTACCTGTGGTTTGTTACATGCATTAGATGAGCAGGATATTGCCACGACTGATATGACATTGACATACGTCAATGACTTTGTGCACAGTCAATGTGCCTTCTCGGAGGCCACTCATTCTCTGACGTTCTGGAGAGTTCTGGCACACATCAGGGCTCTGCCTGATACATGCAGAGGCACATTCTGGTTGAACCCGAGCTTCTCAAACATCTTCGCTGGCATGAAATGGGTTTCAGAATGGGAGGATCCCAATCATGTACTCCCAGAGGTGCTGAGAGTGTGACCCCGGGGGTGAAGAGTTGAGTTTTATCTTTAAAATTTACTTGGACTTTGTATTCTATGGATATATATCCATGTTAATTTTGTTATAAAAATGTTTAAAATTAGTTGTCACCTAACTTCCCACCCCACCTGCCACCCCACACTCCCAATGTCTAAGTAAAACTGACTCTCTGGGAGGACACAACATGTCTGTCGCCTGTGGCTTTGCCGCCCGTCACACCATAGTGTACCCCAGTTGAGAAATTTGGGTCACACACATACCGGCATCGTGGTTGCCTGGCTGAGCCCGGGCACTGGTAACTCTTGGGGGAGGGTGGCCGATCGTGGCAAAGCCGTGGTGCTGGCCTCTGACATCCGCTTGCTGGGAGTGGCTGTAAGAAAATAATGAATTACCTTCCTGACTCATGGACACTGGCAACTTTCTTATCAAGAGGGAACAGTGACTCCGGTGTGGGTGACACTGGGCTTAGTTGGAATCTCTGATACAGGGTGCCCACCGTGAATGGAAGGGGTTGAGCTGAGCCATGAAAACTCAATGTGAGAGCAGGTAGAAGACGCCCCAATCCCGGAGCCTCACTCCCACCAGTTGGTCCAACCACCTGCCGGATCGGACACCTTACCAAAGTTTTTTTTTTTTTTTTTTTTTTTTTTTTTTTTTTTCCAGCAATGGATCGCAACCCTCAGTGTCGTGCCCGTACCGGACCGGGACCGGCAACGGGATCGCAACCCTCGGTGCTGCACCCGCACCTCGCTCAACCAG